CCATTGCGCGTCTTGAGGCGCGTTGAGTGTGAACGGCCAGCTGTTGACAAACAGCCAAACGCATGCGGCAGGAGCATTTTGGCTGCTCCAAACGCGTTTGGTGTGTACCCGGCTTAAGGGAAATCACTGTAAAACATTTATGATGATTAATTAACATTTCTGTTTAAATAATCAGTCTGAACTTGGTGTTCAGATAAATGTAAGATTTTCTTAAGAAAACTCAAAATTATATTACTGATGTTTCCAATATGTAGCGAATTACTCTATGAAATTTAGGACCAGCCTAATCTTCACAAAGGTAATCCCTCAAGACCTTGCAAAAATGAAATCAGTAATAATGAAATACCTCTGACCATGAAGTGAAAAATGAAAACTTGTGACCTGAACAGATTTCTCAAAATAAAGTAATTTATTTTTAGATATATGAACAGGAATAAATACAAAATATTTAATAAAAATATTATATGAAAAGTGACACAAGTTATATATTTTCGGCATAAAAATTCCACTCAGAGTTGACACAAACAGTAAATTTAAGGTGTTGCAATTCACTGGCACACTACTTGGCTAAGTTTTAAGTAAGTGAGAGAATAAAGGTATAGATTTAGCTTTAAGAAATAGGAGGAAAAGAAGATTAGTAAATTGGCACTTGTCTTTCATAAGTGCATACCAGACCAGCACATTAGCTGTCATTCTGCGACACCTCCGGAGCTAGACCTCCGTTTATCTCAGCAAACATCTCCTTCTACCTTTTGATGTCTTCACACAGAGAGACTGCAGGCAGGGTTTGTTCTTGAGAGAGTCGGTATAGGTCCGCCAAGTGGATAATGTCGCCTTGATAGCTCGGAGGGAGATGCCTCTCGCCTCCCCACAACTAGCCTCAGTGGCTCCAGGCTGGCCGTCTCAGRCAGGTGCTTCTCGGGCAGTTAGTGACTTTCATCAGAGTTCACATCCATACATGCGGACTGTCCAGCCGGACAACCCAGGGAGAGAACCAGACAGAATCCTCCGCTCTCCATCCAGACGAACAACGAACAACTCCCTAACTGTTAACTGGCGAGAACAGAAAATTAGTTCGAGAGGGAAGGTGAGATGTGAGAAAAAAAACAAGGTGGCTTTCTCACACTGGCGGGCCAGCTGTGAGTTGTTTATCAGCAAAAGACCTTGGCTGCTTGAAGCTGAATAGACCAAACTTGTCTTAAAAAAATCACTTCACTGAGGCTATGAAACACATTCACAACTTTGCACAAATGTATTAATAGTAAAATGAATAGTACACAATATTAATCATTAAACCAATTAAGGAAATGATAAACCATGACTAATAATAGTAC